GGGTAGGGCTGGGGAGTGATGGCAGAGCAGCGGTGGACTTCACCCCCGGCAGGAGAGCAGCTCCCGGCCTCTGCAAGCGACCGGACCCGGTAACCCCCGTGGGGCAGTGGTAGTTAAGGACAACGCGTCTCCGTTAAGGTAGCCACAGGACAAATGCTTTTTTGGCGCTGCCGTGCACAGCTGCCATTAGGCTGAAATATTGCTGTGCCGTGTGTGAGAGCAATCACTTGTCTAAGAAAATAGAAGAGGCCGAACTCTCACCTGTCTGAGGTGTAGTTGTATGGGTGGATCTGCCCTGAGAAGGAGCTCTAGTTCAGGATTCCAGCAGCCTCGCAAGCCCGTAGAGAATGTGTAAATAAGTCTAGCGGGCACACGTGCTGGATCAAGGCTAGTTCAAGTGATAAGGTGATTGTGTATGTGGGAGGACGTTCTGGTTTTTGGTGGTTTTTTGCACCTGAAATATAAATTGAGCATCTCATGAATAGGGCTGTTTCTCGCCATGTACTATCAACATTTCTTAGTAACACTTCATAGCTGAAAGGGCTGTGTTCACTGACTTGCCCCAAAGGCTAGTAGTCCTGAGCCTGAGAAAACCTATGCAAAGTCATTAGTATGTTTCCTAGCTTTTCTAGTTTCATAAACAGGGCCTGGAGGAGTGGACAGAAGAATGCAGCATGTACAGCATGGTCCTTGCCTGTGATTGGTAGGAACTTGAGGCAGGACACCCTTTTAGTCTAAGCTGCCAGGGATAAGCTGGGTTGAGAAAGATAACCTCTTACAATTTTATCTCTTTTTTTGGTGTTTGTAATTTGTGATTGTGTGGCTTCACAGCTGCTTGAATGTGATCGGTTATTACAGGCCGTAATGGAGGGGGAAGAAGTTTCATAGACCTACTGCACACATTCTCTGCAATTTGAGTTCTTTAACTACACATCACAGAGTGCATGTGTCTTTGTGGTAGGGAAGGCTTCAGCTGACCGCTGCTGCCTTGGTCATTAAAGTTCTTTAGACAAGACTAAAACCCTGTGTGGGTTTTCTGGTATTAAAGGTCTACGTTCTCAGCTTAGTGTAATTTTGCTTTAAAAAACCGAAATCAACTGAGATATGAAGTTTCCAGGGAGGATAATTCTTTAGTTCTGATGCTCCTAAATTGCCAACATTCAATAGCTATTCTTGTGTTTCAGGATATGTCCATAGGGTAGGAAGAACAAACTAAAACAATTGTAGCCTGTGTTTGGCTTCTCTGTGAGGACAAACTAAAAGTTGCCAACTTGTGTTGCATTACACTGCCCTTATCAGGACCCTAGCTGTCCACTTAGAAGAAAGATGTAACTCTATCTTGCTGGGAGTTATTAGTATCTTAAGTTCCTGATGACTTTTCTTTCCATGAGACTGAACGTTTGGAGTTGCCGGAAGATGGTACAAAAGGGACTTAGCCATGATATGACTTTATGAATGAGAGCAAATTTGCTAATGTTAAAAAAATAGCGTTGGCTTGGCTTGTTTGTCTTTCTTTTTTTTTTTTTCTTAATCCCAATCCCCAACTGAAGTTCTTCAGCAGAAAGGAAATCATAAAAACATCTTTTGAGACAGGTTATTCTTAATCCATGTGCTGTTCAGAGTAGAACAAACATGCTATGATATTACTGTGACCTTCCTTTATTATTTTTCACAGTCAAGCTACTATATAAACATTGCTTTGTGCGCCCTCCTTGCATCTGTGCATACCTGTAAACAGGACTATCTCTTATAATAGATGATCACTTTCCAGTTGTGCTCTACTGTATACATTCATAGCTATTGTGAACAGTAAAATTGAGATTTATGTCTCTGTATGCGGGAAGGCTACGTAGCAGGTAATACAAGTTGTGTGGAATTATGTTCACTGTCTAAACTTGTATCAATTAACTGCTTCTCAGCAGAATGCAGACCATATTGCTAATACCCAGGTTTCAGCATGGGAGAAGAGTTTGAGCTTGAGTGGCAGTAGTATTGAATTTCTAAAAGGTAGAGGTTATACTGTGAGCTGCTTGTTGGAGCGTGGCGGACAATAGCCGTATGCGGGAAGGCTACGTAGCAGGTAATACAAGTTGTGTGGAATTATGTTCACTGTCTAAACCTGTATCAATTAACTGCTTCTCAGCAGAATGCAGACCATATTGCTAATACCCAGGTTTCAGCATGGGAGAAGAGTTTGAGCTTGAGTGGCAGTATTGAATTTCTAAAAGGTAGAGGTTAGACTGTGAGCTGCTTGTTGGAGCGTGGCGAACAATAGCCACCAGCTACCCTCTGTGGTTTGACAACTGCTTGGAGTCACAGAAAGTAACAGCTGACACTTGCAGTTTCTCACAGTGGTGCTAGTAGCGGCAGTAAAACGAACCTGAGAAGATGGACTGAGTTACCTGTGTCATATCTGGAAAGCTACATCTTCAACTAATACCGACCCTAGACTGTTAAATGGTGCAGAAATGGATAGCATAACTGCTGCCAAGTTCTGGTAGAAGCTATTGGGCAGTCTCATATCGTGGCTGGAGAGCTCACTAAGTGAGGAACATTGTCAGAGAGGTCACAGAGATTTGCATTTGCATTGAAGCAATTAGGCTTGTACCATGGTCATGGTGTTTACAAACTCAGTCCAAGGGCAATTCTGTCTGTATTGCTCTGTCTGAAACTCGAAGTTTAGCTTTTTTGAGGTGGGGGAAGACTGAACTTCGTAGCAGACTCTGGAATTGATGTGTGGTAACTAATATCTTGCAAAAAGTACTTGTGTGAAATACTACAGCACTCCCCCAAGGCTTTGATTGACAATTTGTCCACTGGTGTTGCAGCTTGGAAGGCAACCTCATGATTTAGTTCTTGTGTTGCTGTGCTCATAAACTTCTGCTGGAAGTTGAAAAGCCTAATGGGGAACTGTGAAGTTTTGAGTGGACAGCTCAGCAGTCTACTGCTGCATAAGCAAATCGATTGTATTTCAGTAAAGTTTTCTGTAGCATGTGCTGCTGCGGGTGGTTGTGCATCATGGTAAATTCATGATACTTTCATGAGGAGTTAAATTCTCGGTGTGCTGCAGGTAAAACCTACACAGCACTTCCAGTTGGGCAGCTTACTTCACAAATGGTCAGTTGGCCAAAATACTGACTTTTTGAGCCTGAACTTGCATTAAATAATGTTCTGTTCTTGACAAACTGGATATGGTGATGACAGAAAGCTTTCCACTGAAGCAATTGATGTAAGGCACACAATGTGGCGGTATGCCACTGTGGTGCAGGTTGGCACCAGTTGGACGTCTTGTTCAGTAATGGTAAATGGTCACCCTTCAGTGCTAAAATAGCAAATTTGAGTGGGTCGTGGTTTTGACAGGGTACTTGAGAATTTGCTTCCATCTGCAGCAGTAGGCAGTGAGTTTATGCCATTCTAAGATATCCTTTTTGTGAAGGCTTAGGGTGAGCTAGAAAGGAGTAGCAGTAAGGTGTAAAGCTCCAAGCGCTTTTTCTAGTGAAATAAAACTTGCTAAAGCAGTTAGCTCATCTAAAGGTACCTAGGTGATCACAGTATGGTGACTGTGTAGTTGTTAAAACTAACATAATCAACTTGACTGTCTGCTAAAGTAATACGAACTACATTGCCCTTACCTCTTGAGGAGAAGCGTGAACCAACATTTAAGTTCTTGGTATAAATACCCTTGCGTGCCATATGCTGTTTCTCATGAGTCTTTACTAGCTGTTCACTCGTTACACCTTCTCAGGGTGGGCTTGTGCATGTCAACACTATTCAACAAGGGCATGTGAGTACCTGTTACTGTTCGTGGGCTGTCGCTGAATTGCAGGAAGCAAATGTAAAGCAAATGACAGTTGTCATATTATCATCTTACAAGCATGTCTGCAGTCTCTAAATCAGCTCCAGGTGTCATTTGACTTCTATTGTAGTTGAAGCAAATAGTTTTCCCAGTAAGTGGGTCAACAGGAACATCTTTGCTCAGATTCTGTGCAACAGCTTCAGTTGCTAAATCCTTTAAGGAGCCAAGACTTAAGCTTTACAAGCTAACTCCAAGCCCTGCAACTGGTGACACACTTCAGAGCCGCACACCCATTGTAAAAGCAGTGCCACAGAAGATAAGCACATTGGTTAGAATATTGCTCTGTTGACAGGTTACGGGTTTCCAGCAACTTGTTACATTTGGGAAAGTATCTGTTTGTTAATGGTTCTGTTAGCCCTACAGAAATAGTAAAAGTGACATCTGTGCTGCCCATTTTAACTTGGTTTGTCACCTAGACTGAAGTATTAAATTATCTATTTATGGTTAGTAAGAACTCTGAGAAGTCATTAATATTTGGTCTGACAGAACTAAAATAAAATATCTGTTACAGGAGCTACAAGTTCAAGTAGTTAAAGAATCCTTTCTAGTCGAACCAAAGTTAAAAAGCCTTTGTCTCCTTAATTGTGTTTTTTGATGTTGAATAGCCAGTTGCCTCTATCAGTATGATTAAGCTTGGCAGTAAGGCACACCTTAGTTTCTTGAGGTTCCACAGTTCAGTGGCTTGTCTTGAGGTGTAGAAAGGAAATGCCTTGCTGCTGTGCTTCCAGATATTGTGAAATGCATCACTTGGGTGACACCAGTGCTCTTTAAGGCAGCAGTTGGTTTTCCTGTATCTTCTGCAGAAAGACTTCTGTAGACCTGCAGAGGTACTTGACTGTGTAGGCCTGGCATGGGGAAGGAAATGAATACAGAGACTGTGAAGTGCCTTCAGCGTTAAGAATAGTATTGGTCTCAAAGGATTGGGGAAGTATATCAAAGTGCTGCTAAGCTTTAGCTGCTTTTGAAAGCCTTGTCATTTTAATCTATTTTTTTTCAAGACCTAGTTTGAATAGGTTTTTGTGTTTCAGCTTATTTATTGTAGTGTGACTTGAGTGACTGACTGATTTGAGCCTGACTTCTGTGATCAAATCGAGTCATAATAAGATGGTGAATGAACTGAAAGTAAAACTTGCTCAGAAAGTGTTTGTCTTATACCATGGCTTTGCAGAGTGGCAGTCTTGATCTGGTGAACATGTGTTCAAAATGTTCTGTCCTTGGGCAGTACCAAATTTTGTGTCTTTTGTGCTGTTTGACAGGGTTTGATCCATCACGAGAAGAATCAAATCTGCTGGTACACGTGGTTGCCTTCAGCATTGTTCAGTTTCACAGTCAGTGAAGCTTGTGTTGGAGTAATGACTAAACACTGACTCAGTGTGGCTCTGTTTAGAGATGCATAATCAGCATTAATTCTCTTTACTGCTGCAAATCTTGCTTTACACTGCAAGTCTGCTCTAACTGTAGTTAATTACGTCTTTAATACCCTGTTGTAGACACTGCTACAAGTTAGATATTTTTAGACTCTTCCTCAAAAAACAGAAAAGCACTGACTCAGGTTACTTTTTTTTGTTGTTGTTGTTCTACAGCTCAGATACTGCATCTTTACAAGCATTAGCTGTTCCCTTAAGCAGTAATTCAGAAAAGGATAGCTGGAAGGCTAAGAACTTCCCAGGATACTGTCTAGGAAGACAGAAGTGGAATGGCTTAGATGAAAGAAACTTCAGAAGCAAGGAGAGTATATTTACAAGTCTATTGCATGTATTTACTCTCGGCAGCTGGTTTTTTTTCTGTAGAGGTTTTAGATTAAACTAGGTTCAGGAGCTTAGTCCAGAGGCACCAAAGTAGTTTGGTGTTGATGTCTGTACTGTGTAAATAAAATAACTGAGTCTCTGAATAACACTGCTTATTAGTACATTAGTTTAACTGGTGACTAGGACTCTTAATTTCTGTGCATACAATGTAGGCCTTGATTTTTGTGTATGTAGAGTGCACTTTAGTACAGTGCTGAACAGACCAAACCAAAAGGAACAATGACTAATCTTTGTAGGACAGATGGCTATGGTCCAGGTAGGCATGTTGATGCTGGAATATTTTGATACATGTTTATTTTTAGATGGCTTGCTGAAAAAGCGTCAGCTTGAACTTTAGAGCGGTCAGGTCTCTACTGTTTTTTATCTGGGGGAATAAATAATGCAGTGTAGATTTATGAGCTTCTAACTGTAGGGGAAGTATTTTCTTTAAAGTTTTTTCACTTAGAAATGCAATGCCAGTTGCACTACTGGAGGCTGTTTTAACAAGTACATAATCCAAATACTTGGTAAGTTGTAGCACTGAGTTAAAGGTCTGAAGTTGCAGTTGCTGCTGTAACTTTTTTTGATGTGTGAAGGATGGAGAAGCTCTAACCTTCTGGTCAAGGTGTAAAACCAGATATTTGGCCAGCTGAAGACTAGCCCATAAACATACTCTGTGGCTATTTCTTGAGAATCTAGCTCAAAACTTCTCTACTGGGAAGATCTTTTGGGCCACATGACAGTACAGTTTGTTGGCCATGAAGCCAAGCTTGAAAGTGTTACTATAAGGTAGCACATAGGAACTTTATTCTAAAATTCAGAATGAAATGAAGCTATATCTTAAGGAGTTTAAAGGCACTTCTATATCTGGAAATAAAGCTTCAGAGAATATTTCTATGGGCCTAAGCTGCAGCACTCCCTAAGTGTTAAGATATACTACAAATTAATGAACAAGAGCTATCAACTTTTTTGTAGCTGTGAGGTGGCTACTTAAGAATATGAATATTAGTGCTCTAATAGAACTAGAGATATGAAGAGAATTTTTTGCTAATTAGTATATGTACTTTTATGCCTAGTTACTTATCTTTTGGTGTCTTTCATGTTTATGAAGTGTAGGGATAGTGGACTGTCTCTGCCAAGGATGGCAAAGTTTTTCTGATGACCCTCAGTTATAGCAATTCACTGCAGTTTTGTTGGCTTCGTTTGACTGTAGGTGGAACATGTTGGCTAACAATGCTAAAGCATCAACTTAATGTGATCTGTCCTCAGTGATTCCCAATGAGGAATGAATGGTAACTGCCACATGCTCTGTTTTGGCCTACTGTAATGTTATACCCTGCAACAGTGTAAAGATAGCAAACCCTCCTCTAAAAGGAATATTGGGTATTTCAAAGGAGGCTTTGGCTCGCTAACCCTGAAATATTTGTCTAGAGTTACTAATTCTGAATGTGTCCTTCAAAGTGGACTCCTATTTTTACTCTTGGCTTCTGGGCATGGAACCCAAAGAATAAAGAATCACTAAACCAGTCTGTTTTTCTAGACTTACCTTGATTTGAGCCTTTTGACCATGGCACAACATTATTCAGCTGATCATGATATTGGTGAACTTGGTCAGGTAATGATAGCTGCTGCTTGGTGAAAACCCAGACACCACTATGCTGATTTTCATAGAGTAACTCTGGGCTCAGGGCATTGAACTTGGCAAAGGTTAACTAAAGACTGAGTAGTCTTTGTAGCTCTTAGGTTTTCACTGCTGTAGTCTTTTAAGATGGAAAACATCTGTGCCTTGGTACTGTGGAGTGTGAAGCTCTATATTCTTGGTGTAACTTAAGTCAGACTGTATGCATATGGTCAGATTTTTCAGTGTTCTATTAACTTTAGAGGTTTTTTTCTACATGTAACATGCCTTCAGTAGACCTGGACACCAAGTGGATAAAAAGGGAGAGAGAACTCTGCTTTGATCAGAAGTACTGAAACTTAGAAAAATCACAGCCTCTTGTCTGAACTTCTGCAGCAGGAAAGGAGGTTTTCTTTTAGTAAAGTACACAGCAAAAATCTAAACTTCTAGCAGTTGAAGTCTAGAGCATGTTTGCCTTCCTTCTTGCTTTTTGTAATTGTAGGAAATGAGGAGGTGGCTGCCTATGTCAAGTTGAGAAGGAAACGAGCTACTGGCAAGGCTTCTGCAGTAACAGCGGCCTGCTGGAGCCCATTCCTTGTACGAAAGGACAGCCGCCTCTTGTGTTAAGAAAACCATACTTTTTTATCCACCCTGAATGCTACTTAATGTAATGCCCCAGACCTACCATTGGCTGATTGTAAATGTTGCTGAAGGGTGTAGTCTTTTGACAAAGATTACAGCTTGCATGAAGAGAGATAGTAAGAAGCTTGAATTTAGCTTCTGAGAGTCAAGGCCACGAACTTCTATCAAAAGTGAGCTGAGTGCTTTCTTTCGCTCTGTTTTAATGGAAATAGAGTTGTATCAAGGCTACATAACCTACTTGAAAGGACAACAAGTAGGTGCTATGGCAACAGTGCTACTTTAGGTCTGTTAGGAGTGGCAGACATGGGCAGTGTCGTGCTGCTGCTGAGTGTTAGGTTGGCAGATGAGGGAATGAATCAAGTTTACCTCAGACTATCCTGGGCAGCTACAGCTGTGGTGGTTCTGCAGTTGTGGAGGTGGCCTGAGCTGCAGTGACATCCAGAGTCAGTCTTGTGGAATGTCACCATGCTCTTTGAAGAAACCTAAATGGTGTCTGCAAGACTTTTTCCATTCACTGGTTAAATAATCAAGTCTAACAGAACACTTAAAGCTACTTAGAGTATTTTAAATACAGTAGTTTATAATTCTAGTTTTTCTCCCGCATTTAATATAGTTTGTATACTGGAATGGCCCCATGGGAGAGCTATGCATCTGAAGCTGAATGGATGATAATGACTAATACTCAAACTACTTTCATTCTGCCTGTGAAAGTCTTTTCACCTGTGTACATGAACAGGGTTTTTTTGACTTCTAACTGGGTGGATATCCTGGTGGAGGATTCGTTGTAGTAAGAGCCAGAACACTTATCTGGTTACCCAGGCTGATGTCTTAGGACTGTCTTTTGCTTCTGAGGTGAGTTGGGAACCTCCTGAGCCTGAAGTTGGACTTGCAGTTTGAATATGTTATGATAACATAAATGTAGCTGAAGAAACATGCTTGCTGTGATACAGGTTTTGCCCTGAAATCTGTTAGGAGGCAACTACTGCTTCCCAGTCCCAGCTCATTGAACTCTAGCCAAATGACTGCAGAAACTTGTTTAATGTCAGAGTAGAGGAATGCAGGAGTGACTTTAGGGTCTGGCTTTGTCATCTGCTGTTTAAGTATGTAATTTAACTTGACACCAGGTCTGACAATGCTAATTCCAGTGTACCGGCTCGGCCATTATCGCCCAGCAGAATGAGATGGTTAGTTTGGCAGTAATCATGGAAAGCCCAACGTGTGCCTGTATAGTCTGATACAGAAACAGTGCCAGACAGAATCTGTCTTGCCTTTGCATCTTTCTGTGGTTAGGATTGAGCTGTGTAGGACTTCTGCAGAGCTGCTTTATTGATCCTTCTGGAATAATGCTTTATCTGCAATTCTGACTAGTGACTTTTGATCATCTAATGCCTTAGGTGATGTATAATCCTTTGAGATTGAAGGGTTGTGTTCAAACTGCTAAGAGGCATGATTTTGGACTAGGAAGCTGTCGAAAATGTTTTTGATAGAAATGAGACTAATTATTACACTGTAGAAGAAACAACTGCTGCAGTAATTATGCTGTATTTATCGGAGGAATCAGCGATGCTCCAGAGGCTGTGCCAAACTGAGTCATGAGTTTCATGACACTAGACTTTGCAGATCACCAGGCTGGAAAGCCAACACTATAATGGTGAATGAATGTGGAGAGAAATGTTTGTAATAATGAAGCTAGCCTGACTTCAAGTTTTGTGCCTGACTCTTATCTCCGTTCTAGCTGGCAAACAAAGCACTAACAATGTTCAAGGTAGCTACTGCCACCTCAGTGACTAAATAAGGATAACTCTCAACATAAACTGTGAAGCTGACAATAACTTTTTTGACATCGTGTGTGGTCTTGGAAGTGACACTTTAATAGAAATTGGAACACCGTGGGGTTGTCTCCTGTGACATTCTTGCCCAATGAGAGCCCATGTTTAAGCAGTTGTCTGGCTTAATGAAAACCATCTATCCAGGGTAGATGGAGGCAGTAGGACATGCAGAAACCCTTTCTAGTGAAGGAAGAAATCATCTGTATGAACAAGGTGATAATCCTTAATGAGAAAAGTCCATATTTTTTAACTCGGGATATATTCACGTCTGAAGTTACTGTGAGTGACTAAAATTTAAATAGGTTTAAGCAGTATAAAACAGGACTCTCAAATTTCTTTTTTTTTTTTTAAATAGAGCCTTTCTAACAGCTGTGTGCCTGAAGATGTGCATCTGTTGGTACTAATTTCTAGAGAAAGAATTGTTGCAGTTTCTGGATTTTAAGAAACGTGAATTCTAGAAGTTGATTTCAACAGAGAGCTCTAGTTCATATCCAGACCAAAGGGCAGGGGACATGCACTTTCCTTTAACATGTAGTTGTCAAGTTGTGACTTATAAGCCACTTAATTTTATGGAACCTTTCTAGGATATTCTTCAGTTTGAACATTTCCAGTGTTTATGATCAAAATCAGAGATGAATTTTCAACTCTAAGGGAAAACAAGTACTCTAACTGTCCTCTTCTCCAACTTACTAGCTGGAATAGCATGTCAAAAGTTCAAAAGGGAATGTAGAAGGTAAAATGAGCTCAACTGGCACTTCTACCCCCACATTGTAGCTGTAAGCCTGATATGTTGTTTAGGGATTAACTTTATGCTCAGGAGCATGAAAAGAGTTCCTGAAGACCTGGGAACTCATTGGTTTTTAGCTGCCTTTATTCACTTCTAATCCCTCTTGTAAGTAACTTGAGAGGAGAATGGAATATTTTCTGCAGGTGAGACCCTATATCTTAAATTGTAAAGGACTTTCTACCCAAGATGCTGACAAAGAGTTGATGTTGTAATGTGGAAGGTTGAACTTGGTTAAAAAGCCAGTAGCTGAAATCAGAGAAAAATAATCCAGTAATTAACTTCTGAGAATCTTCTTCATCCACTATGGGAGACCTAGCTTTATTCACTCTGGAGTAGAGTGTTCTTATCCTTGAGATAAGAGTGTTTATTTATAAAGTCTGACTTCTGACATAATAGTCTAAAGTGCAATATTAGTATTAGTCACTGGTAAAGTCAACATTGTTTTACCTGAGAAGGAGAATTCAAATACTTGTAAACATTTAGCAAGAAGAGATTTCGTAACAAAATACTATTCTGTACTTTATAATATCTAAATTATGGACTGAATAGCATAATATGGAAGTACGTAACTGACTTCTAAAGCGTTTTTGAACTACAAGAGCCAAATATTTGTTATTGGCTGGCAGTGATACAGTGGCCCATATTCATAGGCCTGCCTAGTGCAGGAAAGTACCTCTGCAATGAAACCTGTTTTGAACAGCCAGAAGTATTGCTCAGTGATAGCTTAAGCATAACATCCTACAAATTATACTGTACATGGTACATGGATATCGACTCGAACTGCAGCCAGAAGCTCGGTGAGATGGCTTACAACCTAAAAAATAAAAGGCAGTGGCTCAGTGACTGTGGTGCTTCTGCCAACAAGAAAACTGGGGATGAGTGTAGTCCTGTGTGAACTTCAGATTCCTAGGGTGGTACTCGAGAGTCTTCTTTAAAGGTGCATTAAGACAGTTAGTGAATGTGCAGTCTGACAACAGTTAAGTTTTACTCTGCTACTGCTGGTTAAGGATAGCAATTACAGACTCTTGGTCTCGTTTTTATTGGGTCAGCTCCTAAACATCTTTGTAACCCTACAAGCCAGTTTGCCATCTTGATATTTAAGCTTCAGATTGTGGTTTTGGAGCTTTCCATTGTGGATGTCATTAGGAGAATGCACTCAATGCCTGCTCCTAAAACAACGTGTGAGTTCAATTACAAAAATGGGATAACGCTACACCCGAAGAGTGAACAGAAGTAATATATGCTCTCACACCAGTTAGTGTAATGACTTGCATCAGGGTGCTTGTATATTTAATGTGGTTTTATGGAGCATTGTAGCCTGACTCCCACTTGATGTCTCTTTCAAGGGTGTTAGAGTTGGGAGCTGACTCGTAGCCTTGTTCAGGAAATTTCTGCCTAACCAAGCTCAGTTGATTTAACTTTATAGCAAAACAGTCTGATCTCAGCGACACTGGATGTAGTCTTGCATCTCAGCCTTGCTGGTTTCTTTGGAGGGATCCAAACTTGGCAACTTGTACTATCAAGTCATCAGCTTAGTCTGTCCTGAATGGATTCACTGTAGAACTTCACTGGTTTTGCTTTTCAAGATGTTGGAGACATGTTGTATCAGGTAGCTGAAACGTACAGGAAGCTTGGTTAATGTCCTGTACTGTGACCTGAAACACTCCCTTGAAGCAGTAAGAGGAGCCTGTGTGGATTAAGAAGACTTTTTCTTCCCTCCTCCAATTTTATGCACATGTTGACATTGGGAATCTGGCTGCTGAGGCAGTAAGAATAGCAGATGTTTGTGCAGCCTTAGGAACACTTCAAGTGGCCAGCAAATCTATTCTGCTAGGTGGTACGGTGGCAAAATACCAGTTATTAGGATGACATATAAATCCAGGCCTGCAGTTAAGTAGTTTGAGGCACAGTTTACTCCTGTAGCTTATGGATCTTTACCTGTGTTTTTCTATCTTGAGTGTTTCTTTAACACTGTTTGTGTTGCTTAAGTAGAACTGATTTGTAACTTAACAGCTTGTTTGTTGCTTCTGCTTATCAAAACTTCTGATTTGTGTGATCAATAATTTTTTTTTTTCTTTTCAGACAAATCTACCTATCTTCAAATTGAAAGAATCTACAGTCAGGAGAAGATACAGTGACTTTGAATGGCTAAGGAATGAACTAGAAAGAGAAAGCAAGGTGGGTAAAATGAAAAGTAAATACAAGTTTTCATATCATAGACATACGAAGAATAGTGATGCTGGAATGTGTTACTGTGTTGTAAAGCATACGTATCATACAGCAGATACTGGGGTTGAAAATGTCCAGAACTAAAACACTGTCTTTCAGCAAACCTCAGTTATACAGTGCTAGAGGCTATTTAATTAGAGTTAAACTACTTGAATTCAGCTTACCTCTCTGAGCAGATACTGTTCTTCTCTGCGTGTGTTTTATTGTTTCACTAGGGTTGTGACTGATGAGTTGGGTCCTCTAAGAGGGAGAAAGTATACAGAATGTATATAAACTTGCTTACAAGCTGTGCTTAATGATACTTTCCTAAATCTTTCAGATTGTGGTACCCCCTCTGCCAGGAAAAGCTCTTCTCCGTCAGCTCCCGTTCAGAGGAGATGATGGTATATTTGATGATTCATTTATAGAGGAAAGGAAGCAGGCTCTTGAACAATTCATAAACAAGTAAGTGTTATCCAGAGACGAATCCAGAACTTGGCTCCAGAAAATTGAATTCAAGTTGCTAATCCTCTTAACTATGGTAGTTGCACTAGGTTAAGAATAACTTTCACGTAATCTTGCAGTAGGACATACTAACATTCCTCATCCAATATTTGGTCTGAATATGTTAATGCTTACCTGAACAGCTGGAATGAATGTTAGTGTTTTTGCTAATTTATGCAAATTACTACTAAAATTATAGCATTCAAAATAGTTTTACTATTTCATTTCTGAAAAGGTATCTTGCACTGGGTGAACAATGGAGCTTACAATGGGCTTATAGCAGTTCACTTTGATTGCATATATAATATTATCAGCTTGTATAATGATGCATATTTTTCTCTAATCGTCCTGAGAATCTTTCTGAAGATGTAAAAACACAACCTGAGGTGTATATAGTTTGAAGGAGATTTGTCACTACCTTTCAAAAGGTAGCAGAAATTATAGTAACAAAGTCTTAAGATTCTTTTTCTACCATCTGACACGACTGACCGCTCTCCCTGTACTGACCTGAAAACTACTTTAATCTCTTCAGTGATGTGAATCCCACCGGTGGGTAAGAAGGAATACTGTCAGTTCACCAGCCCTTCTAGTCTCTAGGGCCAACACTGTTCAGACCAGCTGGATTTGAGACTACTCATTTAACAGTTCAAGCTTGTTGGTTCCACTGGCATTCTAATCGTGTTCTATAGTAATGCTGTTTAAAGGGGACAGAGGATGCCCACAAATAAAGCCAAAACTTAGGAGTAGCTGCTCATCAGTTACTGTTACTGTCAGTTGAGGCATGTGGCTTGGAGTTGCAAGTGACTACTAAAGGCGTCTTGTGAGATTGAAATCTTCTCTTCATGTAGTTGCTTGTTAGCTCGATTTAGAGGTATTGCTAATGGTTCTGAGCAGGTAAAATGCTTCAGATTGCTCTTTCCTCTCTTCAAAGACAAGTGGAATGAATGTCAAAGGCATCTGCTTTTGCATTTACACTATGGTAAGGCAGATGTGCTTATATTTAAGATGGAATGTGGAGACTTTTAAGGCTATGCAGTTGAGACAGTCATGACTGTAAAGCACAACTCGTATCCATGCAGACTTGGGACTCTGTGGAAGAAGTGTGCTTGCTAGAGTTGGTGTACAAAGCTTTCAGTAATATGTGGGAGAAGAGGGCTGCTTATGTTGTGAAGCAACTCGTAGTGAGACAATCACTGTAACTGGAGTCTGTGAAAAACTTAGTGTAGCTGACAGAAATGGAGTGGCCAGTTTGCTTGTATCATTTGTTCAGGACTGCAGCAAGTGATACATTGATCTTGTGCAACTGTAAAACTACCTGGTCGATTTTTTTTTCCTCATGAAACACAAAACCAGACTTAATGTTGAGAAGTTTTGTCATTCTAGTTGTAAAATCTGGAGAGACTAAATCACAGCTGCTCAGCTTATTCATCAGATGTCTTGGGCCAACTTCCTGCCACCACCATCAAAACGACCTCAAGTGACATTCACAGGAGTGGCTATGTTGTAACACTCTTGTCTGTCCAAACCTGACTTTGGGATACATGAAAATCCTTGAAGGAGCAGCTGCTGTGTGTAAGGGTCACCTTAGTAAAGAATACTGAAGAAGAGTCCATGCAGAGTGAGGTGTTCCTGTGACACAAAGAGCTGAATCTGAGAAATCAGATCTAGTCTTGCAATTCAGCCAACAATTTTCAAACCTTCCTGAAAGGGAGAAGGATTATGTTGCTGCCTCGTCATCTTCTCCTATATATCTCTTGAAGTTCAAGGCCAGCAACTTCACTCTGGTGATGGTAAAACTCAAACTAGTTATTCCAAACTGTCTTCCTTGTGAAGCAGTGTTTGAGACAGCTGCCCATTTACAAGAACCTTGCAAGATTGATAGGTGTTATGACTGCACTTAATAGTCTGTCAATGCTGATTAGAAGAGCTCAGCTTCCTCATTAAAGGACCCTCTCAATGACAAATGAATAGTGACAAGTGAATCTGTCCTGTGGTGAAATAAACATTAATAGATATGTTTGGAGAAGATGCACAAAAGTTCTTAGAGGTACTGATGCTGAGCCCCTGGAGTTGATTGTATTACATGTGTTCAACTATGTAAGTTCCATTTAGAGTAGAAATGTTTTGACAGATGTGGAAGCCGTAAGACTTGACACAGGCTATCCTAGGGAGGATGAGGGGCTTTCTCCCTTAAAGGAAGAGATTGACTAAACTGGATGTAACTTTTTCCCCAAATCAAACTGCCTTAGGTTTTCATATCAATAAGTGATCAACTTGCAGGGATTCTGATTCTCTTGCATTTTTACCTACACAGAAGAATACATGGTATTTTAAAGGTTTGTGGGTTGTTTTTTTTTAAATGGTTTTCTTCCAAGCTTGAGAGGAGTGTCTTATTCAATTTCAGCTCCTTTATTGTTATAAGAGTAGTGGCTCAGTCTATATGTTGAACAAAACTAAATCTACAGTAGATATTATCTCTTTCAGAGCAAACAAACTCCGTCTCCTATCTTTTGTGTCTAAAGACATCTGTCAATTAACAGAATGGCCAGTACCCTCTGGCTGTCCAGCAGTGCTGCTTGCACACACTAAGGACAGTGACCATGGTGAATCACTACTTGAAACGCTGTCAGAACCTTCAAGAGACCTTCACACCACCTGGGGGAGTAAGTCTTGGGCAGACTGCCATAGAATTAGACTGAGAACTGAGGGGTTAAGCAGCCTTTAGAAACATGTCCTGTGTCAAAGGTATCAAGAACCTGTAAAAATCCACTTGGCTTGCTTAAATCTAGATTTCCTAATGGTAGGATGGACATTTTGATACTCCCCTCAGTTGCAGGGGCATGACATAACATGCTTCTGAATGGTCAGTGGTAGCTCAGGGTTCTTATGGACTAACTTCATGTAGGGGACAATGACAAATCTTGCTACCAGACATCATTCTATGAACTGAAAGTAGGATCTGTGCCTAAGTATGAAGTCATAGGTTATTGGTATAAAACCTTGCTCTTCTGGCTAGCTGCAAGCAGACTTGATTTGTTAGCACTAATACTTGTTTTCTCCTCTCCAGGGTTGCAGGCCACCCACTGGCACAGAACGAGCGCTGTCTTCACATGTTCTTACAAGATGAAGTAATAGACAAAAACTACACACCATCCAAAATAAGACATACTTGAGTTCTGAAACTGTCTTCTCAAAACATTAGTGGTTCTTATGCTTGGTTTTAAAAGGTTGTAGTTTGTCTTAGCATGCTGAGGATAAACGGGCACGAAGTCTCCACTAATCAGTACACTGCTTGGTCTTTGCATATGCTTTATAATATGAAAGAACTCACTTGTCTTCTAGGTAAATCCCTCTGAATTCTTGATTTAAGAGTATTACACTGAGACCATCCACCACTTGCAATGTCTCACAAACCTTTCCACTCTTACTTGCAATGACTTAACAATGTTTACTGACTTGGCCTTACTTGAACTTGCACAGTTGTAGTGTCATGTGTTCACTTGTATTTGACTAAACTGCTATGCTGTTTCTGAGATAGTCAATCTATCTGAACTTCTGTAGAAAGACTGCTTTATTTCTGATACCCTGTGTGAGAAACACTTATGCAATTGTCTTCAAGCTTGTAAAACACTTTATACTGAAGTAATGAGGGAATTATCTTTATATTCTGTAAGAGGAAAAATCAAATTTATATACTAAAGTAACTTGTCTATAAAGTTTTGAAATAAAAGTGAAAATGTACTTCATATGTTTTGTCACTCTTGACCTTGAGTGTGGGGTATCTCATGCTTTCTGAGAAGCAGGAACTTGACTATATGATGTGGTGTTTCAGCCTTGCTGTGATGCTCTTCTGCAACATAGTCTTGTGTTACTAACAGCCAGCACTAAATACCCTTAGGTGCTGGTTCTCACCACTCAAGTCTTAAGGAACATATAAAGGCATTGAAGGCTGTTCCTGTGTTGTGGAGCCAAAGCTGCAACCACATTCATGGTAGGCAGGCAAGAGACCTGTGACTTCAGTAAGTCTGGGAGAAGAGTACCTTTCTGCTTAGCATGGAAAGCATCAACGTAGCAAGTGAAAATTATACTCCCTTACAGAGAAAGGAATAATCTGTAATACGTTACAATTTCAATCCTAGATTTAAAATAAGGACATCAAGTCATACAAGTCTGCTATAAGATGTGATCATAGACCTTTTCCCTGAACACTAAAGGAAGGGGAAGCTGTAGCATTGTGCTTGTGTGACCACTGCTGAAATGCAAGGGTTGATGACTGAACTGCAGTTCACAAGCTGTGCTGCTTAACTTCTTTCTCACTGGATGTTTCTGTGGCTGGAGAAGTTTTCCTGAGTGCTTCCAGATGTGACATGGGAGTTACCTATACAGATATGCTTGAAAAACAGATTCAAGGACACTCTAGAAGCAATCCAATTCGGTGTTTTATGTGGTTTGGTAACACTATGTCTTGGCTTAGGCTTGGCTCTGCTGCTTTTTCCATCTTTTAGTATTTCTTATCATTGTTGGAAGCATCCTATAAACTTACTGGCAAATTTATTTCCTTTAACTAAGACTATTAACCTCATTTATGGAAATCTGGCTGTGGAAGACTGAGCTGACAACAATGGTAGCTGACTGGATTATATGTAGAACTAGTGAATAGCTACATTGAGAAGTTAGATGCTCAAATAATTGCTCTTTCCCCTCATACTTAACAAAAGTTGTGCTGAATCTGTCCAGCAGTCCTAGTCATGAAACCAGGCACCAAAACTGGCAGAGCCCACTTGAAGTCCACAGCTATCTAGCTTTTCAACACAGTCTAGCTTTTCAACAAGTTTTTGATAATGTAAAACCAATTCTAAAAATCCCTCTGCTTGTTGAATCGTGTTTCAAAGTTGAGTTACTCTTGGAAATGGAGAAAGAAGATCTTCACATATGTGTGAAGTTTTATTATTTAAGTTAGATGCATACTAAGGTGTTCTTTTTTCTTTCCTCAAATGTTCTTAGAAGCTTCTTTCAGAAATCAAAGTAAATGCCCTATCTTATCCCTAAAGGATGACACAGTTTGTATTATCTGCTGTGGGGAAAAAAAAAATAAATAATTATACTGAAAAGGAAAAAGCTGCATGCTTGATGTCAAAGTGTTTCTATTTCTAAAGTGATGACTTTGGAATGTTAACCTCTGAGGCTGACAGAACATGTGCCCTAGACTCTGGGATTTCACCTGGCCTTCAATCCTTCACCTAGAGACCCTAATTTTAGTGTAGCGTAACTGGCAGTTCTTTTGTGCAATTTGCAGTACTGGGAGGAAGATGTGGTCTGAGATTAGCTGTGCTTAAACGACAGGTGTCTCGATGTTGTTCTGAGCTCATGAGTCTGTTCTGCAGCTGGGCTAGATCCTGCAGGTGGGAGGAGGAGACATGGGTGTGCACTCATTGCCCTGCCTGCTTTCCAGCTGGGAAAAAGCCAGTACACTCTGTTGTATCTTCTGGTCTGGGTGACCTCAAGACTGGGACTACACACGGCAGTGCAGTTACCTGGCAGTGTGGATGCAGTCTGTGTTTGTTTATTGCACTTGCTGGGATAACAGCATGAGTCTTACTCAGACGAGTGTTCTGTAACAGGTTCTGCACAGCACTAGATTCAACTTCTGTAGCTCATAAACTGAATTGACACAAACTGGAGAACTGCAATTCATTTTCTGCTCTCCAGTTCTTTTTAGTATAGAGAGCAGAAAATGATTGAAGGTTATTAACAGGTGCAGGAAGAACACTTTGTAAAGGGTTTGCTGATTCATTTCTAAGAAAGTCCTATGCCCTATGGTAAATGCATTCTCAAGTACTCAATTCTAGTTTGCATACAAGATGTTTTGAAGTGCTGTAGTCCATGCTTTGTCTCATCTGACTCATCAGAAGACTGATTTTTTATACTTTAAGGACTGGTTGTGTTGGAAAGGGTAGAATGTGGGACCTAGCAGGCACTGCAAATGGAGGAGAGTTGGGATGAAGGCTTTGAGCTCTGAAACGCATGAGATTTTTGTGCTTGAAGTCGACGGAGCTAGGAGTTCACTTGTGATCTGTATCCCTTGACACTGAAAATCAATGAGCCACCGATACGGACGGTACATTTCACTTGTCATTTTCGTGTGTGTGGCTCTGGTCGCTCATTACCATGTGATGAACAATATATTTCCCTTCTATTACCAACTCATTCTGTGCATTGGGAGTTGCTTATCTCTTTCTTTGGTGTGATTACACAGCTGGACACCTTAATAAAACCTCAATCTTTTTCATTGAAGCAGTGTTTCTGTACTCATCACCCTTTTTTAGCTGTACAATTCACAGGTACTGAAAAGTGAAATAATATGACACAAAATACTTATATTAGGTTACACCTCTGATCCATTTAGTACTGTGTCCTAGAAAACGCTCTGTGTAAGCTCCTTGAGAAGGAAACCTTGCAACAGGTGTACATCTGAGTTACAGAAAATAGCTCTATGCCAGGATCTCACAGATCCTGTGCCCCAAAGCAGGATCACCAAAGCTATTCCTTTAATGTTTATTAGCCTAACCTGTTTTTAAAAATCTCTGGTGATGGAGCCTCCACAGTATCCAAGGCAATCCATTTTAGTAGAGGATAATTCTGTTGCCTGGTGTGTAGGGTGCAGTGAAAGAAACTAATCCAGAAAGAGAACAACAGGCGTTGAAAGAACAGTGGAAAGTCATTTAAATTCAATATATTTTTATTCTTTGTAAATACAATGAGTACAACTTTTTAACTTCACAAATCAGTTAATCCACTTTGTACAGGAAAAGTTTTACTCATTCTATGATAGTCCAAGTGCTGATTTTTCTCAGTGCTAGTTCCTAATAAAAAATCAAATTTTGAAAAGTACAGCAGCTATCTTTAAATGGTTTTTTTTCTACATTTTTCATACATCAAATAAGCAGCTTATAACGTTTTTGTGTGTGAGACGGTGTAGGTGAACAAGGCTTCAAAATTAGAACCTGGAGTTTTCTAAAAAGGCATTGGAGACTTTTGGAAATTGTTAGCATTGTATCAGTCAACAACCTTTATTTCTCTGAAATAAAATTCCTTCCATTGATTTTTTTTTTTTCTTTTCTTTAATAGTCATTTCACTTCTCTGCACATCTCATTGACAAGGAGTTTGGCCACCGTTGCCTTTGGTTTCAGCACTGTGCCAACAGGACAGCCAGCAGGTCACTGAAGCAGTCATCTCCATTGTATTTGGTTTTGCTGTTTTTAGTCTTCCTTTCTTGGCTTGTGTCTTTTCAGGTGTGGGTGGGTGTGAACGTGTATCTGCATGTGTGGAAGAAGGAGGGAAGGTTGGGGAGGAAGTGTGTAAAGCTCTTCTGTCTTTGAGATGTTAAGCAAACAAATTGTGGTGACATCTGCATCAAAGGTCACCAGTTCATGTTGCAGGAAGAATGGAGCTGCCGTCATAAGCTGCTTTTTAATCAGTTCTGAAGGCCACTTCATGATGTATTATAGCAGAAGCAATGTTTTGGTAACCTGGTCTTCAATGTTGCCGATCGTATTAAAAACATTTTCCCAACATAGGGTACTTTTAAAACAGTTCTGAAGGCCACCGCATCTCATGTTACGACAGAAGCCAAGTTTGGTCACCCGGTTCCAAATACTAAGCAAACTGAAGTACCTTCTTTCACATTTTGTCTCAGATCTGCCAGTTAAAAGAGAGAATAGCGGAGTCTTTGTTAACTATGACTGGCATCTGAATTGCCTCCATCCTGTAGTAACAGGAATAGCAGCCAAATTCCAACCACTTTCACTTTTTCTGTAGAACAAAACATTCTCTCCATGATCTAAATCACTCTGTTGAGAGCAGCAGAATCATATCTACTGGGGTATTTTTTGTCAATGGGTTTAAAGGCTAAACATTCCCAGGCTTATGCTTCCTGTAGATTTTGTTAGTTGAGGCTTATTCTCTGTAGATAAAAGATTCTTATCAAACTGTCCATCCTGATCGTTTATTTTAAGGTCATTTATATGTCACTGGATTTGTACATATCTGAAAGCAGTCTTGTAATTGGTACATTCCCAATGGTCTTTTTGAAAAACACTTCTTCTATTGTAGATGGACTAATCGAACGTAAAGCTGGTAAGAGCAATAAAAGTTTTCCAAAACGACAGGGTTGTGTGGGATACCTGAGAGACAGGAAAAAAAAAAGCTAATGAAGTTTTAAAGTAATTTTTTAAAGCTTTTTACTTTACAGGAAAGACCAGTATTCAACAGCCTGTACACAGGAGTGCTGCCTGTGCTAAAACCCTGTGTTTTGTGCTCACTTGAACAAGAAGGTTAACCACAAGGAAAACTCTCTTAATGAAGGTTAGCAGAATATAGACCAATGTCTCTCAGATTTGATTAGCTCTCTTTTTTATTCGCTCAGAGCAGCAGCAATAGAGAGATAGAATCTGCTCTGACTTGTCCCTCATACAGCAACTGTGTTCTTGATGCAGTGCAGGGAAGAGCTCGGCCTGGAATAAGTACCCTGTCCTTTAAAGTGCAATTTAAACCTAGCTGGATTGTCATGGTAATCATTTTGCCTCCTTTTGGTTGCCATGTACATTGAATACCAACTGACATTTAGGAAGAATTTTTTTTGTTAAAGAACCTGCATTTTATCCCAGGTAATGTGTTTGTTCCCGTCCTCTCTCCCAGCTTTTGAAGCCAACACAACACGACGTACGTATTCTAGCTGTGCTTATGCTGACTTTAAACCAAAGTGCTGCTAAAAAAGTGTGTCCCTAAAAGAAGGAGTAGGTTGTTTGGAGAAACACTCTTCAGTCTGCCCTCCCTTGTGTCCTGTTGAGAAGGACTCCACTGACATCAAAGGGCTGATACTGCTGTAGCACTGGCAGGAAGGTAAATTCAAGCCTGAGGATGAAACACAGACTGAAGGCTCTATCCCACCAGAGTCACTGTGGCAGTCCTGTTGGTGGACTGCACTTCTTTCCTGATGAAAGGCTATCTTTTACAATAGATACTGTTTAGCCCTGTAGTTAAATGTTTCCATCAATGCAGAAATGCAACGGAAAAGTCGCCATGCCCGAGATGGAAACTGTGGTTATGTTAAACCATTCCTCCCTGGCTTCTCTCTCCAGCAGGCCCTGGCGCACTCAGAGTCTCCAGGGAGCAATATTCATAGGAAAGATCTTCCGTAAGAAGAGGTTATTCTTTTTGCTCGGAACTAGCCGTAACTGGATGGTATTTGCACTTTTGCTGCTGTCCCCACGGCAGGCCATTCCCTTTAGACTAAATAGAAGGGCTTCAGAGACCGCTGCCAGCTAAGCCATGATGCTGAGCAGACTTCTGCTGGGAAAGGCTATTCTGAGAGCAGATCAAAGTTTCAGAAGGAAAAAAATGGTCTGTCTTCTACTGCTCCATCTCTCCACTGCAGCTTAAAGACTTAGACATGGACTTTACAAGACCTGTCACAGCTCCCCTCAGAAGTCCTGAACCAACTGGCTCAGCTGTTGGAGATGTTAGGTGCACTCTCCAGGCTTCTCGCCTGTCAGACCACTCTGAAGCGATCCATAGGAAGAGGCTACTGATCCGTTCACACCCATCTGGTCTAGAGTGTGGGGCTGTACTTTGTGTAGTAGATTTTGTGCATTCCTGAGTTTGCTCCTGTACACTTTGTGGGATGACAGCTACAGCTTTTACAGCAGGTTTTAAGATTTCTGTGTCCCGTGGGACTTATCCTGAGTGAGACAAGGGAGAGAATTTTCTTCCCAAACAATGATTCTTATCACTCTGCTGCAGCAGCAAACTGGAATTCACAAGTTCTGGGTTTTTCATTTCAACCTGTGAACAGACTCAGGGTAGTGTCTTGGAAGAGCCATTTAACTTTGCTGTGTCCCAACTTCTGTGTCTGCAAAATGGGGGAAATGATATAGGGATTGGAGATCTTGGGTGAAAAGCATTCATACTGCTGTGAGATGTGATTTTCTGAGCATCACGATCAACAGTATTTAATTGAATAAAATGTGGAGGAAACTTTAGTCTCCTGGACTGCCTAGTGCTCCACAGCAGTTATCAGTTCCCAGGGGAAGATCTCTTCTTCTAGCATTTTTCCATTTGTCTGAATAAACTGAGGTGCTGGACTGCATCCAAAGAAGAGCAAGGAAACTCATGAAGGGTGTAGAGCACAAATCCTGTGGGGAGTGGCTGAAGGAACTTGGGTTGTTTAGTCTGGAGAAGAGGAGGCTCAGGGGAGACCTTATTGCTCTCTACAACTACCTGAAAGGAGGTTGTGATGAGGTGGGGGTCGGTCTCTTCTCCCAAGTAACAAGCGATAGGACAAGAGAAAATGTCTTCAAATTGCACTAGGGAAAGTTTAGACTGGATATTAGGAAAAAATTCTTCACTTAAAAGGGTTGTCAAGCGTGGGAACAGGCTGCCCAGGGAAATGGTTGCGTTAGTATCCCTGGAGATGTTTAAAAGGCATGTAGGTGTGGTGCTTAGGGACATGGTATACTGTCTTTTCTGACTTTTCCTATGATTCTGTTTCATCAGGAAATGCCAAATCCCAGCAGGTTGACGGTCGGTGTACACTTGTAACAGCCTGGCCCCCATTTCAGTCAGTGGAAATGTCACCTTCACTACAGTGAGGGCAAGATTTTACCCCCTACACCTGCAAGAAGTATTGAGAGAAGACACTGCTCACCTGGTGTGAATGTAGCTGTTCAGAGTGAGCTGGGCTTCATCCTGAAGGGCTGCTATGGCAGCAGCATTTCGGAAACTCCTCAATTCGGAACCGCTGTGCGTAGGCACTGGAAAGCAGATCAGTTACTAGTTCAGCTCTTGGGTGGGTCAAAACAGTTCAGCTAGTGCTATCAATGGAAATTAAACGTTCCCATTAGTTCCCCAGCACTCCACTGTCAGCCTTTCAAAATGCAACACTGACTATCGGAATTCAATACCGGAGAAACCTGTTGGATAATGTAAAGCTTTGTCTAGTTTAAAACGTAATTTTTGCTCTAAAGTAGCAAGCTCATAGTTACCAGGCCAGGCAAGCAAGAGGCTTTTTGTGCTTACCAGCTTTAAAAGTGACAATGCATTTGAGACAGGCGAATTCAGTAGCATCTAGCCGAAGTTGTCTAAATCTAGCCACAACCTCCTGTAAAGCCTGTATTTCCGAAATAATTTTATTCAGCTTCTGAGAATCTGTATTGTCACCATTCATGCCTAAAACAGAAACAGATGAAATGAATAATATTAAAGGCATTTGCTTTATTTTATATTGATTTCTGACAAAATCCTCTGTATCAATATCCACTCTATTGTCACACTTGTCTATCTGGTTCCATATAAACTGACTATATTGTATGAAAGTTAATATAAAATCTTCTCTTGGATGATAACAAACACAGTAATTTGCATTTAAATGACAATGCAAGCAGTCATGAATACAACAAAACAACATTATTTGCATTTAAATATAGATTTATAAATGACAGGTATGCTCCATTGTTCAGTAAGAATTTGTTATTCTTTACATGTTGTTCTTTTTTCAGTAATGTATTTTTATGGTAATTTTTGTAACAAAGTCATTAAATTGTGCAATTCTTACCAGATACAGCCAGTAGAGTGTTAGCATCGACTGGAATGGCCCATTGTGCTATTCCTAGAACAAACAGTTCTCTCCAAGCATCTTCCAAAAGCATCAGCTGTCATACAATAGATGTACGATATAACATAGTGTATAATTTATAGATTTATAAACAATTTAAATATGTAAATTTATGTTATTTTAAAAAATACTTTAAATGCCTGTCATGGTATTTTCCCCACAGTATTCGTTAGCTCTTCTCTTAGCTTTTTGAGAAGGTGTCTAGAAGTAAGTCTATGCATTATAACAAATTACTGAGGGTTGGCTCGCTGTGCGCCGTGTTGTGGACCAAAAGGGAAGAGAGAGTGAGAACTCCCACCCTGGAGAGCTTGCTTGCAACATGAGCACTCGCCTGTGCTTCATCGTGGGCTTTCTCCTCCTCTCCCTCAGCACATACAGATGTCCTGAGACAAGCTGGGTGAGTGTTCACCTATTGCTCTCTAGGGATTACCCTTCTTTCCCTTAGGAAGGCAGTATTTGTGAAGAAAAGCCTGGACAACATCCTGAAATTACATAACTCCGTAGGGAACACTGCTTTGGAGGACTTCTATATCTTCAATTCCTTCCTCACTAAGCAAGTCTTGAGCTCATTCAAGCACAGCATCTAGACACACGGACGGTTTCTCAGTGTCACCTGTTTTCCTGCTTTTTGCTTAAGATTACTCAGAAATTCCAGGCACTAAGAGCTGTTTCCTTTCCAAAAACTGAGTATCCAGGCACCTATGCTCACAGCCCTGCTAGTTCTCTGCAGTTTTTGTACATTGCCTGGTTATATGGGGGATGTGGTTTTCCCAGTTTGGAGGCAGTGCCTTTGACTTCCGTGGAGAGGCAGTGGTGCGTCTGAAGAGGATACAAGGCTTCTGGTTACGCAGACTGGCAAAGCCAGGAAAGACATGTTTTAGTCTGGAGGGCATCTGTGGAATGCTGGCCTAACTCTTAAGAGGTTGGAGGGCCCCCGGTTCAGCTGAAGTTCATGACCTAAAGGATATGCTGTGGTGTGTACACATCGCTGGAACCTCTCAGTAGGGCGGGAGAGATTTGGAGGGGGGAGAACTGTGGTGGACTCGGGAGATATCAGCTGGTGGCTCCACACAGTGAAAACAGATTTCCCAAAACTCATGCAGAAAACAAACCACAACAAACCACAAGCATTAATATTGCTCTGATCCCTGAAAGTACCAGCAACTTAGCTTCTTAGGAAAATAGGAAGGAAAGTATTTCAAGTCTATAAAGAGTCTGTAAGGAAGAATAAAGTAAAAAATACATCCTACCAAATGAATAATGATTTCCTGGGAATCAGATATGTGCAACTAATAGGTGATATAGAAAGCGTGCAATGAAAGTGAATCCTTTTATCTGTGTGCTAACTCTTTACAATATTACAAGTTTTAAACCACCTTGTTCCAATCAGAATGGGAGGAAGAGCTCTCAGAGTCCCTGCTCTCAGCTCGTCAGTGCAGGCTTATGCCCATTTTGTGCCTTTTTTTTTGCTATGTGCTTTGCAGAACTTCTGCATAACTTGACTAAGAAAATTGTGACAGGAACGTATTTCTGTCTCTGCATACTATTACTGTTTGAAAGAGTTGCATTGGATTTTACAGCACTGGAAGCTGCTCAAATCGTTGCATTAAACTGGGGGAGAGGGGGGTGTCTAGGGTGCAGTGCCCATCTCAGCTCTGTTCTGAGAGAAGCTGAACCTGCTCGTAAGTCTCTGAACTGCTGCAGCCCACAAACCCATCCCCTCCTCTGGATAATCCTGCCTGAGGGATGTGCAGGTTTCTGTATGACATAGGAAATGATTTGCCAGCCTTTCATTTGCTTTTGTAGGACTTTTTTTGTCATTCATTCATGCAGATACAATGGTAATGAATGGTGTTTCCTGGAAGATATCAATTTCATATGTTCTTTCCCACTAAGTCTTTAAAGTCAGAAGATTTAGAAATAAGATACTACTACTCCAATAGCTGAAGTTTTCTTCATGCTTATGCATAAGTCTGTAAAACCACCAATTAAAATAATTCATGTTGAAGTCATACTCAGCCCTCCTTCTTCAAAGAGACAAGAAATGCCAGGCTTTCTGAAGGACTGCTTTTTGCTTCTTAATCAACCCCATCCTGTAAGCATGACCTTTCATTGGTGACCTGCATTGGGCCAACCTGTTTTAGGGACAAGCTGGGCAAAGTGTGCAGGCCACCACGACTTGAAGCATAGCTTTTTTCTTGTGTGGCTTTCAATCTGTGATAGAATTAGCCCTATGGAGCTGGGGAAAGGACACAGCCTCTGTTTTACCAAGGACAGTGACACAGCAATCCTCAGAATTGCCTTTTGTCAGCAAATTGGTTTCTGCCTGTTTCCTTGCCTTTGAGACGAAACTGTCACAGAGTCCTGGAATTGCAACGTGCCTTCCTTTTCAGAGGAGCACAAGCAAAAGCAACATCCAGGAGGTTTTAGACTCTCCTCGGGTGGATGTCAGGGAAACAAAAAGAGAAATGCAGACATTTACAGCTGGGCTTTTGTCAAATTAAATAATGCGATGGCACTATTGCAAACAAAAAACCAGACAAACCCCAACTCTGATTAGTCATGAGAAAAGGTGATGAAAACCAGAGTTATTTCTTCTCCAACTCTCTTGAATATGAGAAGGGAAATCATGCAGAAAGAGGCACAGGTCAAAGCTTTAGAACTGAGCAGCTCTGAGTTTTGAGGAAACTGGCTTGCAATGACGTGCAGCAAGTCAAGGTGATGTAATGGAGAGGCTGGGATTTTACTATGTAATTTACTGACGTGAGTCCCTGATATGAAAGTGAAAGAGACAGTGTGCTATTTAAAGATAACAAGAACATCCTGGTATCTGTGGTAGATAAGCAGACTTTGCTGCTTGAGGCATGCATGCCAGTGTGCAATGGAGACTTTCCTTCCTCCCAAAATCTGCTGACCCCTCCTCTGCACACTAACAGAGATGACCTTGTGGGAAACGCATCCATCTTGCGTCAAATAAAACCCTCGACTAAGGAGCCTTCTGTGGACATCACTGGTCTGGAGATGGACCCAGCCTCTTCCTGTGTGCTCAGGCTGCTGCTGAAAGAAGTTATATTCTCGCCACTTGTCCCTGGTATTCGGGCCTTTTTCTCTGGTTGCTTGGTGTGACAGACACGGTGCTCCAGAGGAGCAGCGGTAGCAGAATACAACATTAGGGAGCAACACGTTGCACTGTCTTTCTAAGAGTGTGTGTAACCTCCCGGGCCCAATCTCACTGCTCGCCCTATGCTCTCTATGTAGCAGTACTGCAGACAGAGCTTCATTTCACAACCAGGATTTCAAAACATGAGTCTGGTACTAGAAAAGGAGTATTTCAGTGTACCTTAGCTTTATATCACATCGTGACCATCGTGCTTTATCTTTAGGTACAAAACATGATTTGTTTCCTAAGAAGCTCTTTTCTTTCATTTCAAAATATATATTTACATATCAACTGCAGCACTTGCAACATGCATCCATGGAAAGGAACTAGTTCCTCTGATGACTGCTATGTAGCATCTAAGGGACAACGTTTCTAGTTACCATTTGGGAAAATTAGCTCAATCATATCAAAGTATTAGATGTCTTTTATGATTGGAGCTTTGCGTAGATTTCCTCCTTCCATTTTATAATTATCTGATTACTTTTTTTTTTTTAAATTAGTGCATTATACAAAGCACACTGAATCCTCATCAAGAATCAAGTCATTAAGAGATTGCTTCAGCTCGTGTGTTTCACATATGGTTTACTTGAGGCAAAGGCAAATTGTCATAGAGGAAAACAAGATAAATTAGGGAAGATTTTAATTAATGGTGAAAAATATTGTGGGCTGGCCAAATTCTGCTTCCACCATATTTGTGTAAGTTCACTGAAGCCAACATGAATAAAGAAAAAATGTTGGCTGTGTGAACAGTGGGGAGAGGAGAGGAAAGGAGAGGAGAGGAGAGGAGAGGAGAGGAGGGGAGGGGGGGGGAGGATGGTCTTAGGTAGGGGGGGGCAGGGGAGAGGAGAGAGGAGAGGAGAGAGGAGAGGAGAGGAGAGGAGAGGAGAGGAGAGGAGAGGAGAGGAGAGGGGGATGGTTTTAGGAAATCACTTCAGTCATATCCTGAGGCCATATGCTTAGCTAAGCACTTATCTCAAAACAGCAAAGTAAGATGCTGTTCCCCATTTTATGGAGGTAAAAGCTGTTCCACAAGTAAAGAAGCAGTTTGGGCACACTGAACTTGGTCTGCAGTCTGGCAACTTTTCTTCTAGAACTTGTCCTCTCATAGTATTTGCTTTATATTAGATTTATTTTTCTGGCTTCTTTTTCACTTGCTTCTTGGAATAAAAATTAGAGGAAAGCAGTTTCTAAATCACTGCCTACTTTTCAGGGACAGACCAAAACTCTATCCTGAACTTCAGAACTGAGGAAGTCCATTACAAATTTAAAGGTCTTGTCTTGAAGTTTTAGAACCTAATCTGAGCTCTGAGCCTTCTTTAACAGGCAGGCCAGGCTGATGCCACTCCCACCACAGTTGCCTTACCTGGTCTTGTAAGGACAAAGTGGAGAAGGCTGGGACGCTTTTAGCCCACTTGATGCTCATGAACAGAAGTCTGGCTGCTGACTCGCAGACGGATTCGGTAGCCACTTCGTAGAGGTACATAGGAGTACCATTGACTTCATGTGGGTACTAATATCAAAAAGAGAATAAAGCAACTTCATATAATGTCACCAAGGTAGCCTCGTCTTCCTCTCCCCTGCAGCTGCCATTCAGTACATTATGCTCGTGCCCAGTGTGGAGTGTGCACTCTCTTATTCCACAAGCAGAGGGCATTGCTTTCAGTGGGCTCACTCCAAATCGCTCCCTGCAGCTCATCCGTGTGAGTGAACTGTGCTGGAGAAACAGTTCTCCAGAGGAGGTTGGAGGGAGAATGAAATTCCTACATCATGGGAAAAAACATACTATTCTTTACCCTGTTACTCAATAGCACATTTCTGGTAGCAGAGTTAGAAGAATACAAATTTGATTAAGAATTTGTAGTTTCTAACCTGGGTTTCAGAAGCTGATTTAGAACTCCAGCCTTGCTCAGCAAAGCATTAAGTACTCATTTAGCCTTAACCTTCATCTAGCTCCTAGACTGCAACAGGCTGTAAGCTGATACGTAGAGCATAACTACTTGAAGGGTGTGTAGGATTGAAATGGAGTTATGTTTTCAAGGATGCACTGTGTTTTCTTGATAAATAGTTTATGGTTGAGTATTTTCCAAAACTATAATATACAACTGTTCGTGATGGATTCTCCCAAGCTACCAGCTCTGGAAATGGAGAATTTTTTAAGTTCTCCCTTTTTTGGTTTTCTAGGTGCTATAAATACACAGAATGCCATTGTGAGTGGATTAATGAAAAACATTACCTTGTGGCTGATTCCTATGCAGTGGAAGCCACAACAGCACTGCTTCCACTAGGCTACTTAGAAAATATCACAGCCAGGAAGTGCAGAGCCAGATTAGACACACTTGTGTCTGTGTGGACAAGGTACAGGCTTCAGGCAGTATAGATAGTACTTTCTGGACTGCACCACTATGGAGATAGGCATCTTGCTGAAGAAAACTCAGCAATTGCAGCTCAGCCACATGAAGCAAGGTTTAAAACTGATTTGTGGATGGGCTCTGGGCAGGAGGAGCACCTCTGCAACCACAATGGTGTAAGGATGTAGGAAAGACAGAGTTTGTACAGAGCAGGTTATCAGTCCTTCTGCACATCCCTTCTGCGGGGTGCCTCTTACTCTTTGCACCTCATATCTTCAGAGCTTTTAGGAGTGTAACAAAAAGTGTCCCCACCACAGCCTGCAAGGCCTCAAGCCTTGCTCTTTGCCACGTTCACCCCAAAGGTGGGCAGGACCTGGCGGCTTGCAGGCACCCCGTCACTGAGGTCTGCAGTCTTGCCAGGGGCTGGAAGTCTGACCTTTGGGGTAGGCTGTGCCAGGCCCACCAGAGCCTGCCTCTCGGGAGTGCTGGTGACGGCGGCCAGCTCCAGGCCGTGGGGTTCCAGCTGGGAGACGGCAGTGAAGAAGGCAGGGGCCGGCAAGGCGGCGGCAGGGAAGTGCGGGGCTCCACCACTCTCCTCCTTGTGCCCGCGGAAGTAGAGGGCCACCTGCTTCCGTATCGTCGAGGTCCGGGGGCCCCGCTCATGCTGCACCGCTGCAGGGCACCAAGGAGAAGCGAGGGGATCACCGTGAGGTCCTGCACCGGGTACCCCACACTGCTTGCCTGGGCTTCCCTCCCTCCCTGCGAGTTTTTGGGGACAGCCCTATGCCCTCTGCCTCAAGCGTGTCTGAGGAAAAATGGGCAAGGCTGCCACGGGAATGGGGGGGAATATTAGGGGCCCGGGAGGTGAGGGGAGGACGTGGTTCAGAGCAAAGCCCGA